ATCTGGAGGCTACTGGTGGACTGTGGGGGTGCAAGTGAGAGTCTGGCCAGTTCTAACCCAGGTCAATGGATTTTTCTCTTCTTTGCATTCTGTGGTTATTATCGCTTCTCTGAAGAGTTGTGGAGCATACAGCTGGTCTTTCTGTGGGCTGAAGAAGCTCTATCTACATTTACTCCACAAGAGAAACTCACTCTAGCTGCCTCACATTGGCCATCTTAATCCTCTTCATGCTTTCTTTATCCAGTTATATGTTGATGGACACTTATGTTGAGTCCATATCTTGCTATTGGACCACACAGTCTTGATTCTTTTTTTTCTTTTTTTTTTTTTGAGTTGGAGTCTCACTCTGTCACCCAGACTGGAGTGCAGTGGCCACTCCCAGCCACCGCAGCCTCGACCTGCTGGGCTCCGGCGATCCTTCTGCCTCAGCCTTCTAAGTAGCCAGAATTACAGGCGCACACTACCATGCCCAGCTGATTTTTTTTATTTTATTGTAGAGATGAGGTATCGCTGCCAGGTGGGTCTTGAACCCGCAGGCTCAGGCAATCCACTCACCTCAGCCTCCCAAAGGCGTGGGATTACAGGCTGAGCCACGAAGCCCAGCTAGTCTTGATTCTTGTATCTTTATAGTACATTTAAAAAATTAGATAGTACACTTTGTTCTTCTTTTAAAAATATTAGAATAACACTGCCATTGTCTACAAAGAAAGCCTGCATGTGTTTTGATAGGTATAGGGTTGACTTTATAGGTTAATTTGAAGAGAATTGCAGTTGTGACAATATGGAGCCTGAAAATCCATGAACATGGACTATCTATTCATTTATGCAGATCTTATTTAATTTCTATCAGTAATGTTTTATAGTTTTCAGTGTATAAGACTTGTACTTTTAACATTTATATCTAGGTATTTTTTCTTTTTGATGCTATTGTAAATAGAATTGTTTTCATTATTTTTCAATTGTTTGCTGCCAGAATATAGAAATATAATTGATTTTTGTATATTTATCTTGTGTCTTGTGACATTTCAAAACTCATTTATTCAAGGGGAGAGGAGAGAGAGAAAGAGCAAGATGGAGACAGAGAGACATAGAGAGAAAGAATCAGAATCAGAATCAATGTGTGTGTTCACTGGCATTTTTTACCTACAGGATCTGTTAATAAAGGCAGTTTTACTTTTTATGCCCAATCTTGCTGTCTTTAATTTCCTTTCTTTATATATTGATACTGGTTAGATACTCCATGTTGACTAGAAGTAGTAAATATTACATCCTTGCTTTGTTCCAGGTCTTAAAAAGAAAGTATTCATTCTCGTAACATTAAGTATGATGACGTTAACTGTTGGTTCTTTATAGATGCCCTTTATCAGGCTGAAGATGTTCTTTTTTTTTTTTTTTTTTGTCTTTTGGTTTTTATTTCTCTGCAATTCAACTAGATGTGGAAAGGAATAAGGACAATATGGAACCTAAAGAACTTCAGCAAGAACACAAAGATTATAGGATACTGCAAGTAAATGGGATGGTGGGGTGCTCTGCTGAGCTGCAGAAGGAATGGTCTGGTAGTTAAGATAAAGTAAGTCAAATTTATTAGAATTGTCCACAGTGGCAATGGTGGTCTTCTTGCTGGTCTTGCCATTCTTGGACCCAAAGTCCTCCATGGCTTGCACGACATTCACGCCCTCTTTCACCTTGCCAAAGACCACACGTTTGCCATCCAACCATTCAGTCTTAGTAGTGCAAATGAAAAATGGAACCATTTGTGTTGGGTCTCGCATTTGTCATGGACAACATGGCAGGACCTGTATAGTTCAGGATGAAGTTCTCATCATCAAATTTCTCCCCATAGATGGACTTGCTACCAGTGCCATTATGATGTGAAGTCACTACCCTGACAAATAAACCCTGGAATAGTTCTGTGAAAGCAGGAACGCTTATAACAATCCTTTTCAGTGCTTAGAGCACAAAAGTTTTCTGTCTTTGGAATTTTGTCTGCAAACAGCTCGAAGGAGATGCAGCCCAGAGGCTTGTCATCTACAGTGACATCAAAGAACACCATGGGGTTGACCATTGCTGATGGAAAAGGGCTCAAGGTAACAGTGTCTGCATAGACAGGATGTTCTTTCCTACTTTGTTTAGAGTTTTATCATAAATGAGTGTTGAATTTCTTCAAATGCTTTTTTCATACTTATTGTGGTGATCTTACTGTTTTTGTTCTTTCTATTAATATTGTATACTATATTAAATGATTTGATAAGTGTTCCCTCCTCTATTTTCTGAAAGAATTTGTGAAGTATTGGGATTATTTTTTCTTTAATATTTGATAAACTCAACCAATAAAGACATCTAGACATAGGCTTTTCTTGGGAAGATTTTTAATTGCTAAATCAGTTTCTTTACTTATTATAGCCATATTGATTTCTGCTCTAATATTTGCTTACTTTGGATTTTGTTTGCTTTTCCCCTCCAGTTTCTTAAGAAGGAAGTTTAGGTTATTGACTTGAGATCTTTTTTTCTTTCTTTTTCTGATATAGGCATTCACATTAATCAGGTTACTCCAGAGGAACAGAACCAGTAGGATTGATTTTTTTTCTCTCTCTCTCCCTCTCAATTTATTATAAGGGATTGTCTTGGCTCATATGATTACAGAGGCTGGCAAGTTCTATGATCTGCAGGGTGAGTAGACAAGCTGGAGACCTAGGAAAGCTGATGATGTCTGAAGGCAGGGAAAAAGTCTATATCTCAGTTAGAAGGCTACCAAGTGGAAATAATTCTTTCTTCCTTGAGGGAGAGTCAGCCTGCTTTTTCTATTCAGGCCTTCAACTGATTGGAGAGGCCTACACATATTGTGGAGGGCAATCCGCTTTACTCAGTTTGCTGTTTTAAATGCTAATCTCATCCAAAAACACCTTCACAGAAACACTTAGAATAATGTCTGACCACATATCTGGGCATCTTGTGGCCCATGGAAGTTGACACATAAAAATAACCATAACAGCATTTAAAGCTATACAATTTCTCTCTAAGCACTGTTTTAGTCACATCTCATTAATTTTAATATGCTTTTAAAAATTCAGTTTAGATTATATAATTCATCTTTGATCTATGGATTATTTAGAAATGCACTGTTTAATTTCCAGTAGTTTTGAATTTCCCATATTTTTTGTTTTTTTATAAATTACTTTTATATACATTATTTTATTTGATACATATAACAGTTTTTCAAGTTTATGTTGTTGATTTCTAACATAATTACTCACTCTGCTGGGGGAGTCAAGACAGACTCCATAGAGCTGATTGCATTCGGATTCCATGGATGAATGCTGTCTCCAGACAGAAAGCTGGGGTGAACCAAAATGTAACTGGTAAAGGGAAAGAAAGAGAAGGGAAGGGCTTCCCAGGTGGGGCAACTAAGCATGTATAATAAGGGCACAGGTTCAAAAGTACATGTGCATGGTGCTGGCAAGATGGTCAGTATGCAAAGGAAGCATATTTTGTGTCTTTCTTTTTTCTTGTCAGTATAGCTGAAGTTTATTAACTTAATCTTTTCAAAGAACCTGTTTCTGTTTCATTGATTTTTCTCTATTGTTATTTTTCTTTTATATTGATTATAATGGAAGTATAGTAGGGGTACAGAGGAAGTTGCGGGATGTGAGGGAAAAAGATCCTGTAGAAGCTTCCCTGATGTTCACATTCCAACTTCACTCTTCAAACCCTCTTCTGAATAGTTTCTCATTCCCTGTAAGCCCAAGGATCGTAGAGGAGGGATGTTTTCTCAGGATAGTTTTGGCTGAGCACCAGCTCCAAAGAAGTTGATGTTGAAAGAATCAGACCTGAGCAAGAGGTGTCTGGTGGCTTGCTAATTATTCTTCTAGGAGCCTAATAGTCACTGAGAGGTCAGTCTGTCACTGAGAGGTGGTCATATAGGACCTATTCACTGTGGGCAATGGGGATCCTGTGGCTGAGGTGGCAGCAAGGGTAAGGCCCTAAGCGTGATTCGGTGTTTCCTCTATTATGAAATTAAGGGTTGGAAGGTGAACAGGCCTTAGCATCTTAGCAGTGTCTTTGATTGCAGGGGCTGCAAGCTCTTTCCTCATCCCCTCACTCTGATGTCAGCTCTGCTGGACACGAGGGAGATAAGGGCTAGCACTGAATTTGGTTTAAGAAACAGCCAGGATGGACTGTCGTCACCTCTGCAGGAAAGCTGCTCAATTACTTCAGAGAGTGAAGGATGGAAGACAGAGTGTCTTCCTGAGCCAGGAAAATGAAATCAAGTCTGCCTTAGAACTCCCCATGGTGCTCTTCCTCTCAATGCCTTTTTTCCGCCTCACTTATTGGCAGGCTGACCCTACCCACCCATATTTCTCTGGTTTTCCTTTTAGTAATAACCAAAAAGAATGTCTAATACTCAACAACCCACAGGGCAGTGACCATTCCTGACTAGTCAGTAAGCTGCCTTCAGCCATTCAGTCTTCACGCCCTGCTGAGTCTTGAAGGGTGTATATTCCTCTGACAGGGACTGAACTCCCTGATGGGTGGGCCATACTGTATGGCTAGTGGCTGCTCTCTCACATTCCTCATCTTCCTGTGACTCCCACCCATCCTTCTCTCTTGGGACTCAGTGCAAACACTGTTCCCCCTGAAGCCTTCTTGTATATTCTTATAGGTAGTTTCCTCTCCCTTCTCTGAGTGTCCTTGATTTTTAGCTTCACTTCTTTCATGGACATACCACTTTTTTCCTTATGGAAAATGATTTGTGTTCAATCTTCTCCACTAGACCTGAGCTCTGTAAAGGCAGAATTCTAGGCAGGATTCTGTATTCCCCCATAAGGCTTAGCCAATAGTTGGCAATTAATGGATAAAGAAGTGCTTGGGAAGGAACTTAGAGAGGAGTTCTAAATAAGTGAACTCCCAGAGCCCTCAGGAGCAAGGCTCTCATTTACTGTATGCCTCAGAATCTCCTCTCACACCAGAAAGTTCAAAGGAAAAAACACAGTGACAAGGATGGCCATTTTGGAACCCATTTATATTGCAGGTATTACTCTGGGCATCATCCAGCCTCATACCAGCCCTTGAGACTACATCAGACCGTCTGAACATTCATGGCTTTCTTGGGCCACGTGTAGCTGTCCAGTGTAAAGGAGTCATAGTCTGGAGTGTAGACCAGGGATCTTACAAGAGCCTCCTTGTCCTTGGGTTCCGGGTAGTAGGAGGCCAGGTTGTGTTTGTACGCGTAGTCGAGGACCTGGGGAAAAATATGTTTGGCTGAGGATCAGATCTAAGGGAACCCTGTCTAAAGTGAGAGCCTGGGGATGGGAAATGCACCTTGAGAAATCTGACTTGTTCCTTTCATCAGTGTGGCCCCTGAAACTAATGAATAGGAAAGATTTTAAGATTTCTGCCTCACCAAGCAGCTGCGACAGAGTGGAGCAAATACTGGGCCAGGGTCAAGAGGCCTCAGCCTAAAAATCTGCCTGCTTCCAGATGTCTGTGGGTCATAATCTTTGCTGAGCCTCAGTTTCCTCACCTGTAAAACTGGGTTAACAAGACCTTTCTTTGGAGTGGTGTGAGGATAAAATTAGGCAACAGATAAAAGTGTCCAGAACCTGATACTTTTTCCCCCACTTGAATATGGGTTCAGTTGGATGAACAGCCAGGGCACTGTTCATTGGGTGTTAGATTTGATTTTAGAAGAATGGGAATCTAAACATCCCAAAAAGGAAGGAACTGGACAGGGTGAAGCTACACCATGAGCTGAACTGTTAGTCTTGAGGCCTGATTCTTGATCCTGTACTAGATAACTCATGGGGAATGTGCTGTTGAACAATTCAGTTCCTAAAATTATTTTTAAAACTTATGAAAAAAATGTAAAATATGTACACTAATAGAAATAATAGTGTAGTAAACTCTCATGTGCCCATTATCTAGCCACAACAGTTATTAGTGTTGGGATAGTCTTTATAGCACCATGTTTTGATTCTTTTAAAACCCGTCATCTCCACATAGTCTCATGGTCTGGACTATTCTACAAACCTGATTACCCCATTGCCCAGTCATTTTGAGAGAAGGGAGAAGAATGAGATCTATTCTGGCCAGGCAAGCACTGGGTGTGGAACATTCTTACAGTGCTCTGTTAATCTTCTCCAGAACTCTGGGAGAGAGGAATAATTGACCCTTTGGAAAAGGAGGAAACTAAGGCTCAGGGGAGTGTGGTGATTGGGTCAAGGTTGTACTGCAGTTGATGGGCAGAGCTGGCACCCCAAAGCCTGAGCTTTTTTCCACGATGCTAAGTAAGTTGACCTTTCTTATAAATGGGCACTTATGATTCATTAAAAAAAAATTTCGCCCACATTCTGGTCCTTGGACTTTGATGACCTTTCTGCTTGGTGTTTGAGGGGAAATCCAGGAGCTTTCCCAGAACTGGCCTGGGTGGGTGTTGAGGGTGGAGCTTAGGTTGCAGGCAGGAGTTTGTTACCAAGTCTCTGGATTGCATGTAGTATAGCCCAAAGAGCTCAGGCTGGCATCCCCTTAGCCCTCCTAAAGTAACAGAGAAAGTGGCTGAGCCTCACTACCCATGTGACAGGAGTAGGATGTGTCTTACTTTGATGGCAATTCTCAGAGACACGTCTCGGATGGTGTTGAGTGGTGGGTACAGTCTCCCTTGGGACAGATGGTGCTCAGAAACCTCCTGGGCAATTTGCTGGGGAGAGGGAGAGAACCAAGAAGAGTAAGCTGAGTTTCTGTCTTCCCAGAACAAGCTCAGCCCATTACCCCAGAGACTCACCGCACCCCACATAGTTGGTCACACTCTGTAGTTTTCACTGTTGACTTTACCACCACATAGCCCTGAGGGGAACTTAATGTATGGGCTTAAGCAAGGACACATCCTTTCCCTACTGGAGACTGGCTGAGGCTTAATACAATTAACATGAGGGTCTCTGAATTCTAAAGGAAAAATCACTAAAATCAACATGAATAAATTCACGCTTGCAAAAGGGATTTCCTCTTAGTTGGTTTAACCTATTGCACGGGGGTCCCCAGGTGTCTCAATTCCTGGGTCCCAGTTTCCTCCCACATGCTTGGTACCCTCCTGAGAGCCCATCTGTGCAGTGTTATCTCTTTGTATTCAAGGTTCCTTGCTTCCATCTCTGGTTCCCGTCTGAGGGAAAGCCTCTCTTCTACCGAGTGAATGTGTCTTCTGCCTTGCATGAATAAATGCCCTAGGCAATATCATCCTGGGTGTAGAACCTCCCACTCCTTCTCTCCTAGGCTCAGAGCCTGCCTCTGAGGGTCAAGCCTCATTCTCTGTAAGCCTCACCCTCCCGCCTCGGGAACTGGTGTTCAGCCAGCCTTGAAGATCAGTCTCCTTAATGTGGTGGCTCTGAATCTATTCCTACCCAATCTTCTGGTGTCACATTTAAATTTGGGAAAATTTAAAATTCTGGTGCTCTCTGAGAACTGGGTCGCCCAGAAGTGACAAGGCGAAGGAGTTGGTCTTGCCTCAGAGTTTGCAGACATTAGGGAAATGAGCCTTCTCTGACTTGCCTTCTCACTCTCCCACTCTTATTCCCATTCATTCAAACATTGTCTGAGCTCTGTGAAATGCTGAGCTCTGTCTAGGTGCTGAGGATCCATATGGGGAAGGATTCTATGCTGATGAAGCCATAGTCTTTTTCTTTATGGAGACTGGTGTCATGGACAATCAACAAATAATTATAAAAATTATAGTAGATGAGGGCAATGAGGGGGACATATAGAGGAAGGCAAGGTCCTGCCTACCAGATATGGGAAAGGCTTCCCAGAAGTATCATAGGAGAACACCTGAAGGACAAAATATGAATTAGGGGACAGGAAATAGCACATGCAAATGCTTGGAGGTGAGAGAGAGCAAGAGAAAACATGGACAAGGGATTGAAAACAGCACAATGGATAGGTCGATGGTAGGAAGAAACTTAAAGTGAGACTGGAGAAGAAAGGAGAGCCTGGTGATGAAGTGCCCTTTTTATGGAAACCATGCGAAGAAGTTTGGACTTTATCCTGTAAGCACCAAGGAATCATAAAAGGTCTGAAAATAAGAGAGAGACTTGGCCTGATCTGTACTTTAACGTGTTTTCTTTGTCTAGAAGATGAATTGATTAGAGAGAAGTAAGATTTTCATGGCTAGATCTGCATCTAGAAAGGTAATCCTGTGAAGAGATACATTGTGGTATGTGTGGTCACCTCTAAGATGTTGGGCACTGGTCATGCTCTGCTGTTGCCTGGGGCCATCCTGGGACTGTGGCTCACGAGCCCAGGTACCTGGGGCATGTGGCTTAAACTCTGTGCCTCACTTTTCTTGACTATAACATAGGAATAAGCTCTATGCCTATTTTATAGAATTTTTAAGATGAAATGAGGCAGTGCTTATAAATCTCCTTAAAGCTTATATTAATTTTGTATAGGAAAATCAAATTCAAATTAAATTGCCTTAACTAAAAGCACCTTTTTTCAGAAATATAATTTGCCAGGTCTTTAAAGGCCTGTCAGCTCCCAGAGGAGAAAGGCCTTGTCTTGCTCACAGCAAGAGGATAATAAGTTGATTCAGAAGAGGTTCCTTGTGTAATTGATGGGTATTATTCATGAAATGATGGAGTCGAACTATCTCACAGCACTAGGGGGATGGGTGTATGGATATCTCTCAGAATTACATAGGAAGGGCTCTAGCACCTGTATCTCTACACAACAGGAGAATTTGCTTTTAGGCCAACTTCAAGCAGGAAGTGATTCTTCTCATCTAATGGGGGTTTCAAGCAGCTCTGCCCACAGCTATAGGACAAGAATAGCCATTACACCCACAAGAAGAAATACAAACACAGAATACTCAGACAAGAGGAACAGAGAGCTATGGCACAAAGTCATAAGTAGTGTACAGAGGGTTAGGTACAGCTAAAAAGACTTTGGGGGACATTATTTGTATGGCTTTGTAGACTCATGGCTCAAAGACCAGACATAGTAAGAAGGGACCTGGTACACGGGGTAGTTCCCTGTGGGACTCATAGAAGTGGATCCAGACAGGGCTGTGTGGAAGCCACACCCATGTCTTATTGGTTTCCAACTCTCACCAGTGTCATGGTGAGGAGAAAATGCAGAAGGATGTCAGAAGTCACAAGAGAGTCTTTGGAGCCTGTTGGTTATAAATATATTTAATATTTGTATATGGCTTTGATTACTTAACATCCTAACAGAGGTATTTCTATGCCTGGGTTTCCTCAGAGGGAGGATAAATGCCAAGTGCCTGGCACTTAGTAACCACTTGGTAATGTCAGCCACTGAAACTGTTATCAGTAACCATTATGAACATAGGCTGTCATTCTTAATGAATTATTTCATGGCTTTCATTGTGTCCAGCAAAGAACCCTTCTGGGAACTTTTCTAGCAAGATAACCTGGAACAGGTACATCTCCAACATCCCCATTCCAGTACTCAAGGTCTGGGTACTCAAAGGAGGCAAACTAGGAATATAATCCACACCCTCCCTTATAGAAAGTGGTTCTAGTGGGGCTTACGGCTTACTACTGTCATTTACTCTGGTGATTTGGGTAAATCACGGTCCACCTATCATGGTCCACAAATTCCAGTTTCAGGTAGCTTTGGTGGCATCACCTTTGTCTAGTATCTAGGCATCTCGTTGACACTGCTGGGAGGCAGGGAGCACTATGAGGTATGACCCTTGCTGGCAGTGCCTCTTGCCAACACCCCCTCCCAATGACTATTCCCCATCCCCCCTCAATAACCCTATGTGTGATTGAAGAGGTCAAGCCTCAAGGTGACCCTGAGAGATGCTTGGAGGGTCAAGCACTTGGGGATCCATTGCCAGGATTGGGGCAGGTGGGTAGAAGAGACAAGAGAGGAAGAATCTTTAGAGGTCTGGTATAGGACCTAGTGTTGACCCACAGGCCCTACCGGAAGCACTCAAGGGAGTAGGGACAATGATACCTCTGCTGTCAGGAGGAAGATATCATCTGGGATGTGCCGGATCCTGCCGGCGATGACTCCCAGTGCCACCCCAGGGAACACGTAAGCATTGTTTCCCTGCCCAGGAATGAAGGTCTTGCCGTCTTCCAGAGTCACACTCTTAAAAGGACTTCCGCTGGCAAAAATCCCTCGGCCCTGGAGGCAGGAAGAAAATTCGAGATGGAGCCTGAAGATTGGATTGGAGCAGTAATGGTAGCCTATTCTTATTTCCCAAATGTTGGACCCTTCTTCATTCGCTCTCAAATGTGCAGCATTATGCTGAGACCATAGCAATACTTAAAGCACACTGTTCATTTGACAGAAAGCTCAACCCCCACCTGAGGTAACTGGTAGCCAAGAAACCACTGAAAGGTGATGGAGTTCACAGTACCTTTTTTACCTGTCACTTCCTGGGAAAGCCAGCCCAGGATGTGACAGGTATGGAAGTAGCCTAGAGTATCCAAGTGCCTCAGGTTCTATGTTCTGGTCAAAGCTCTATGTTTTTTAGGGGGATCCTTGAGCATTATAGCACAAAGGTAAGATCTTGGGCTTTGGAACCAGACTTGGGTTTGAGGGCCAGCTCTAGGCCTTATTAGCTCTGTGACCTTGTGCAAGTGACTTCATCTTTCTGGACCTCAATGTGTTCCACAGTGATGTGAGGATTTTTTTCACCCTCACAGGGTTACTCATAGTTATTGTTACTATGTCCTTTCAGCTGGGGGAAGGAAGGACTCCCCGCTGACCTCGGTGACCCGGTAGCACTTCTCAGCCGTGCACTCGGCCTTGCTGGTGGGGTTGCTCAGGGCAAAGATGATTGGCCGCTCGTGGAAGGAGGACATGTCCCTCAGAATCTGCTCCGTGAAGGCTCCTGCGATGGCGGCAACACCTACAGGGAAAAGGGGGGTAGTGGGGATGCCTACTCTTTATAAACAACCCATTCTTCTTCTGCTGGTGGTTTTGGGAGGAACTAGGCCCACCATGAAAGACTCTGGAGTCCTAGGGATGGCATATGCCATAGGGATTGAGGGAACAGAAGGAGAAAGTCTTTTTGCTTGAGTGCCTGAGACCTCCTGTTCCTCTCCAAGAGACAACTGGTCTACCTTAGGTCCCTGCCAGTTAAGGTGCACCTGTGAAAGCATTCCTGGGCATTGCCATTGAGAATGGGCTACTCCCCCAGTACAGGGAGAGATGCCAGAGGTCCTGTCTTGGGGAAGAGTATTCTTCTGGTTAGAGAGACCAGACCTGCTCTTTTCCATTGCACTTTACAATTCTTCACCACTAAGCCCTAACACTGGTGCTTAAATTCTGTTTTTTATGCAGCAGTCACTCAAAAGTTTGTGGCATTGAATTGAACAAGAGACAGAGGAAAGAGCTGTGTTTCCATGGATTACTTATGCCTCCTGGCTGAGCCTCAGTCTCTCCATCTGCAAGTCAAGAGGGTTAGCTGGGCTGGACAGTGGGTTGCCTTTCTCTTCGCACCTATGATTGCTGTGGGCTTCACCAGCCTCACCACCTCCTCCAGGGACTTCACTTCAGGATGGTCTTGGGCAAACATTTCCTTCTCATGGTTCAAGTGGCTCCTCCCCTGAAGGAAAAGAAGGGACAGGAAGCAGCTGTGGTGGGGAGGGACTGTTCCGCAGGAGTATGGATACATTTAGAAACTCTGAGAGCATTCCCTGCTGAGCCCTAATGCTTTGTTCCGAGCTGTCAGAAGCCTGGGACCCCATTCTTGTATCAGATTTCCGGGCAGAACCTAAGGTGGAACCCAAGTATTCATAAAGAATTTATTTGAGCTGTAGGGTCATGGCTTCCTGGGTTAGTACAGGGAAAAGGCTCACAGGAAATGCCTGAGTTTAACCAAGATCCTTGACCCCAAGGTGTTCAGTACCCAGGCCCAGTTGAGGGATGGGACCTGGGCTGCCCAGTGAGAGAGTTTATTTGAATGTATTTACAACAGCCAATAATCTTCCTGTGAATAACATTAAACTGAGCTCCAGGAAAGGCTTAGAGTGGCTAGCTGTGCCCAGCCAGCTCCAGATTCCTTCTATTTCTTTAAATAGAAGTTGGTGGGTGACAGGCTGGCATGGAGCCTGGCTTGGCTAGGAGTAAGCTTGAAGGGGTGAACAAAATGAAGTTGAAAGATGGGCTGGAGGAAGACTGGCAGCCTTTGGTAGCCTATGTCTGTGGACAGCTTATGCTCTGGAGTGACATGGGGTGGGAGGAGGCATCTCCAAGCCTACATCTCTTCCAGCAGTCATCTAGCTCCATGTGGAGCAACAGGATGGTCAACTTCTGCTGACGGTCTCTGCTATTCTCAGTAAGTGGTCCCATATACTTCCCCTGTTTCTATCTCTGTCAGCATTTTTCATTTCTCATTGACATTCTATATTAGTGGAATTCTGGGGATTAAAGCACAGTGTTCTGAATGCAGTTCTTCAGTTGTGTCCCTTAGCACAGGCTAGTCAGAAGCTTTTTCTCTCTCATTCATTCTTTCATTCATACTTCATACATTAATTATGTACTTATCATGTGCCAGGTATTGATATTAAGTCGCTATAATCAAGTGGGGAGACGGACAAGAGGCAACTGCCTCTTTAATATGTTAAGTGCAATGTATGGAGTGTGGAGGTCTATGTGAGCACAGATGCAGGAAATGAGCTTCTTGGAGGAGGTAGCATTTGAACTCCATCAACAGATTTGGAGGAAACCTGGAAGGAGTTGAGGGTAGAGAATCGGAGCAGAGCATTTCAGTCAGAAGCACAAAATGCTGACTGGGGTGTGGAGGTGAGGGGTGTGGAAGAGAGAGAGTATGCTACTTTTATAGAACTATGATCTAAAAATGACTGAAGGTTAGCGTAAGGCAGGAAGTGTGGGGGATAAGGCTGGAGGGGACACACACACACACACACACACACACACACACACACACACACACACACACACACACATATTCAAAGGTAGACAAGAGCAATGAAGGCTACTTTGGGGCAAATCTTTTGCACTGGAGCTTAGGCCATGACCCTTCCTTTGCTCTCCATTCTGTCTGAGCTGTCTGCCCCCGGGAGATCTCTTCCAGTCCAGTTCCTGGGAGCTGTAGGTGTCAGAAAACCTCCAGGTCTCCTGGCTGACAGTACCTTGACAATGAGCCCCTTGGAGTCCACCATCCAGATCTTCCTCATAGCCTCTGCCTTTGGTACACCTTCTTTCTCTAGGGCCATGACAAGGAGGTGAGCGATGCCCATGGCTGCCTGAGAGGTACCATAAGGCAGATGTTCAGAAACAGAGCAAACAGGCACTCAGCATTTATCTGATGTCTTATCAAAATAAGCCCCTCTTCTTATCCCCACCTCCCAGGAAGCCCAGTTAAGTCCTTGCCTTGAGACACCAAAATGTTGGGGCCTAGGTAGCTGTAATGATCACAGTATGTCTGTAGTGCTTCCTCTTCTCAGAACTGGAGAAAATCCCCTCTCCTTGATACATCTCCACCCATTCTTAGTCTCCTACTGGAGCAACAGAAGAAATCCTCAATAGCACCTACCTCACCTGCACCTTGGAAAACAAACACATGATTGGAGAGTTTGTTCTTGGTGATTCTCAGAGCAGCCAGAATCCCTGCCACAGCAACGGAGGCTGTGCCTGCAACAGAGTGAGGTGAGATCAACTTCTGGCCACAGGCCCCTAACTCCCAAGAGAAGACCCTTAGTAGAGTTCCCCACACCTAGAGCCTGTGGAGGAACAAGCAACTTTCTTTAGCCCTTAAGTGAGTAGGCATGCAAGTTTTGGTATGAATCCACACTCTCTTTTGCAGATACTTATTTTTCTTTTGAGAAACAGCTCCTGATTTCTTAATTAATTGGCCCCGTGAGAGATTAGATAGCCAGGTGTTGCTACCAGCATCATTCATAAAGAAAATGACAGGGATAAATATAATAGAAGACAAAAAGAAGTTTAAGCCTAATACAGTTTTTTAAAGGGATAAATAGATAAAAACATATGAAAAATGAGAACACAACCTGGCCATGAGACACTAAGTGACCATGTGGCCCATCGTATCCACCAAGCCATAAGGCTAGGTATGCCTGGTAGCACACGATCATCAAATGGCTTGGGTATATCTGGAAGGGACCAATATGTTGCATGAGTAGGTGGCTGAGACTCATTTGAGCTATTGCTTCATGAATTTCTCTCCCTCAATCTACATCTCAGGCCTCATTGGGAATTCCTTAAGACCAGCTGACCAAGGAGAAAAAAACTCAGATTTGGCTTACAAGTTGTTTTTAATGATATGCTGGCACCAAGTGTAAGGTTGTAGCATCACACCCTCAGTAAAAGGTGGTCCTAAAGGGCAATGTTGAAGGACAATGGACCAGACTTTGAGTGGTAATCTGGCTGTTCACTTTGGTCCAAGAAATAGCTAGATCTACACTGATTCATGGGCAGTTGCTAAGGGTTTAGCTGGATGGTCAGGCTTGGAAAGAACAAAATGGTAAGATAAGTGATGAGAAGACTGATCTGGGGAAGGAGTGGGAGGATGGACTTCTTGGGATAGGTACAGCCTGTAAGGATATTTGTGCCCCATAGGAAAGATCACCCAAGGGCATGATGAAAATAGGCTATCAATAATCAGGTGGACAAAATGGCATGACCTGTGTATGTCAGACAGCATTTTTCTCCAGCTACTCAAAGTTTGCTCAATGTGCTTATGTATAAAGTAGCCATGGTGGTAAGGATGGAAGTTATGCATGGAGGCTTCCTCTCACCAAGACTGACCTGTTAATGCTACTGCTGAATGAGTAACCTGTAAATGGCAGGGACTATGTTGGGCTCCTGATATGGTACCATTCCCTGGAGGGAGCATCCATCTGGTAGCACGATGATTACATTAGGCTCTTGCCATCCTAGCCAGGAAAGACATCTGTCCTCACTGAAATAGACACATATTCTGGATATGGATGTTGATCCTTTTCTATAATGTTTCTGCCAGCACCATCATCTGTGGATGTCTGGAATGCCTATTCACCATTCGGATATATTCCAAGCAACAAGACTTCTAATTAAGGAATTCATTTCACAGTAAAAGAAGTGTAACAATAAGCTCATGCCCATACAATTCACTGGTCTTAACATGGACTCAACCCACTCAGGAGTAGCTGACCTAGTAGATCAATAGAATGGCCTACTGAAGACTTAAGACTTGATTTGAAAAGATTCCTGGAAACAAATGAAAACAAAGAAACATCTTACCAAAACCCCTAGGATGCCCCTAGTACTAAGAGGGGAATTCGTATCTCTATGAACACACATGAAGAAAGATCACAAGTTAACAGCCTAACAAATCACCTAAGGGAGCTGGAAAAACAAGACCATCAAACCCTAACTTCAGCAGAAGAATCCAGATCACCAAAATAAAAGCCCAAATACAGGACATAGAAGACAAAAATATAATAGAAAAAAATTCAATGAAACAAAAAGCTGGCTCTTTGAAAGGATAAACAAGATAGATGGGCCCCCTAGCCAGAATCACCAAGAAAAAGAGAGAAAAAGCCCAAATAAACACAATCAGAAATGCAAAAGATCAAGTCACAATTGACCCCGAAGAAACACAAAAGATTATCAGAGATTACTTTGTACATGTATATGGAAACAAACTTGAAAACCTAAATGAAATGAAGGACTTTCTGACATCACACAACCTCCCAAGGTTGAAACAAGAAGAAAATGAGACCCTAAATAGATCACTTACAACCCAGGAAATTGACTCAGTCATAAGAAAACAACAACAACAACAACAACAACAAAAACCCTGGACCGGCTGACTTTCCAGCAGAATTCTACAAAACATACGAGGAGGAGCTGATATCAATCCTATTGAAAGTATTCCAGAAGTTGAGAAAGATGGAACCCTCCCCCAAATCATTTTATAAAACTAACATCACACTGATACCCAAACCAGGTAAAGATCCAACAAAGAAAGAGAACTACAGGTCAATATCCCTGGTGAACATAGATGCATAATTCTCAATGAGATTCTAGCAAATCGGATCCAACAACACATCTCAAAAATCATCCACCATGACCAAGTAGGCTTCATCTCCAGGATGCAGTGCTGATTCAACATCTGCAAGACCATAAATGTAATTAAATACATAAACAGATGTAAAAACAAGAACCATGTGATTATATAATTAGATGCAGAAAAAGCTTTTGATAAAATCCAGCATCCTTTCTTGATAAAAACCCTTGAACACCTAGGCACAGGTGGAACATACCTCAAAATAGTAATTTTGCCATTATAGTAGTTTATTGCCATCTATAATAAACTCACAGCTAACATATTGCTAAACAGACAGAAATTTGAACCATTTCCCCTGAAAACCAGAACAAGACAAGGATGCCCACTCTTACCCCTCCTATTCAACACAGTGTTGGAAGTCCTAGCTACAGCAATAAGACAAGAGAAGGAAATCAGTAGTATCCAAATAGGAAAAAAGGAGGTTAAGTTATCCTTTGTGTATGAAATGATCCTATACCTTGAAAACCCAAGAGAATCTGTCAAAAACCTCCTTGCACTTGAATTTGGCAAACTCTCAGAGTATAAAATAAATGTACAAAGGACAGGCACATTCCTATACACCAACAACAAACAGACAGAAACTCCAATAAAAAGCACGATCCTATTCACAATAGCCACAAACAAAATGAAACACCTTGACATCTTCCTAACCAGAGAAGTGAAAGATCTTTACAGTGAAAACTACAAAACACTGCTCAAATAAATAAAAGAAGACACACACAAATGGAAAAATATTCCATTCTCATCGACTGGAAAAAATCAACATTTTTAAGATGTCCATCCTACCAAAGGCAATCTACAGATTCAATGCAATACCCACGAAATTACCATCATTCTTCTCTGACCTGGAAATGACAATATAGAAATTCATATGGAAACATACACGACCACAAATAGCCAAAATAATCCTCAGCAAAAGAAACAAAGCTGGAGGTATCATACATCCAGACTTCAAACTCTACTATAAGGCTACAATAACCAAAACAGCCTGGTATTGGTACAAGAGCAGGTATATAGGCCAATGGAACAGGATAGAGATTCTGGAAGCAAAACCTGTTTTTCAGCCAACTCATCTCTGACAAAGCCTTTACAAATAACCACTGGGGAGAGAACCTATTCAGTAAGTGGTGCTGGGAAAACTGGCTGACCACATGCAGGAGACTGAAATAGGACCCCTACCTATCACAATACACAGGAATCAACTCTAAATGGAGCAAAGACCTAAATGTAAAATCTCAAACTATAAGAATCCTAGAAGAAAACATAGGAAATACCCTTAGGAAAATTGGGATAGGCAAACAATTCCTAATCAACTCTCCAAAAGCAAACACCATGGAAGATAGACAAATGGGACCTTATCAAACTGAAAAGTTTCTGCAAAGCAAAAGAAACTATCAAGAGAGTGGGGAGACAGTCCACAGAATGGGAAAAAATATTTACCAAATCTGACAAAGGTCTAACATCCACGATCTACAAGGAATTAAAATGTGCTGAAAGGAAAAAAACAACCCTACTAAAAGGGCAAAAGATATCATTAGACACTTCTCAGAAGAAGACATATGAACAGCCAATAGATACATGGAAAAATGCTCAGCCTCACTAATCATCAAAGAAATGCAAATTAAAACCACACTGAGATACCATCTAATGCTAGTCAGGATGGCCATCGTCAATAACTCAACAAACAACAGATGCTGGACCACTCCAGCATCTGTTGTGGGGAAAATGAAACACTTCTACACTATTGGTGGGAGTGTAAACTACTGCAACCTCTGTGGAAATCAGTGTGGCAATTTCAAAAAGATCTAAAAATAAACCTTCCATATGACCTAGCCATCCCCCTCTGGGAGTATACCTGCAGGAACTCAAATCACTCTCTAAAAAAGATACCTTCACATCATGTTTATTGCAGCATTATTCACACTAGCAAAAAGATGAAACCAACCATGGTACTCATCAAAATTGGACTGGATAAAGAAAATGTGGTACATTTACATGATGGAATATTATGCAGCCATAAAGAAAAACAAAATTATGAATTTCACAGCAACTTGGATGGAATTAGAGTCTATAATACTCAGTGATATATCACAGAAACCAGGGATTGAGTACTATAAGTACTCACTCATAAGCAGACCCTGAACATGTATTATAATACTATAAGAAAGGGATTGGCAGTAGTGGGACACTGCCAGGAGAGGGAAGGGGGCATATTACATCAATAATAGTACACAAACTTTACCTGTACAATGACCACTTATGTACCTAACCCTGAACTGTACCCCACATATTTAAAATTAAAAAAGACTTGATTTGAGGCAACACCCTATGGAAATGATGAGCTTCTGTCTTATAGGATGCATATATATGCATTATATGTAACGTGACTTAGCAAACAATACATTGTGTTCTTCCTCCCATAGCCAGAATCCATGGGTTTGGAAATCAAGGGATAGAAATGGGAGTGGCTCTTCTTACCATTTCACCTAATAACTTGCTTGCAAAATGTTTGCTTCTTGTTTCCCAAGAGAGAAACACTTCCATTAGGATTTACCTCATGGTT